TCTAAGCCTATTTCGGATATGCTTAGACAAATCTATATAAGTACTTAAAAGCATCTCTAATCATGCCCCGTTTGGCAAGCTACTTAGAACTGTCTGCCGTTTCAAGATATCAATAGACACCACCCACCTAATCTTCAAAATACTCGAATGTGTCTTATATGCCTAGCGGAGAATAGAAATTTTCAATTGCATTTTAATGGAACCTTAACAGTTTCCCAAATTTTCAGAATTTTAAAATGCATTGATTATTTACTTGTACATATGTATATATTTTTTGCTCACATGTATGTATGTATGTATATACTATATAGTAAATTTGTATGGAACGAACTGTCTATTAATATGAATATTTGTTGTAATACGTAGTCTTCCTGCTTAACATACACTGGTCGGCACAATTATTTTGACGAACTGTACTCACGACTATCGGTGCTGGTTGCTTTTAGTTTCAAGGAATAACGGTACAATTTTCATACGGGATATTGAGTTCATAGCAACAACAATATGTAGGCAAAATATTTTGTCTATTACTCTTCACACCTTTTTTCTACAAATGACAATGTGAGTTGACTGCGGATTCAGGCACGGCATAAGTATTTTGACCAAATCTTTGTCGCCGTTTTCGCGTACGTTTTATCAAGTGATACTAAAATAACTTTGGTGTAACAATTTTTGTTGACCTTTTTACATTATTTTCATTAAAATTTGATTCAAAAGTAATCGATACAATGGTAAAAAAGACAGAATTAAGTTATGTTGTTAGAGCCTCAATAGTGGCGAAGTTTAATGCCGGCGTAGCACCAAAAGACATTGCAAATGAATATAATTTGTCGCGGCAAACAGTCCACTATCAAATTAACAAATATAAGACCCACAATGACGTCAAAAACTTGCCTAGATCAGGTGCTAACCGCAAAACAACACCCATTGAAGATCGAGTCCTATTGCGGGAATTTAAAAAAAATATTCATTTAAAGCCGCAAGCTGCTGCAGATCAATGGAATAAGTCGACCAAGACTCCAATCAGTGAGCGTACTGTTCGGCGACGCCTAAAAGAAGAAGATTTTAAGACATACAAAGCGAAGGACATACCTTACATATCAAAGGTGAACAAGCTCAAAAGATTGGCTTTTGCAAAGGAGCATCTGCATAAGCCAAAAGAGTTTTGGAGAAGCGTTCTATGGACAGATGAAAGCTCCTTTGAATATAATTCATCAAAACAGTTTCAAAGACAAAAAAATATCCCCGTATGTCAAAAAGTGAGCCATGGCGGAGGCTCAGTCATGTTCTGGGGATGCATTGCGTACAATGGGTTAGGTGATTTCGTTCCCATCACCGGCTCAATGAACCAGCAACAATATTTGAGTACCCTTAACGAAAACGCATTCCCTTCCGGTGACAGGCTGATTGGAGAATCATTTATCCTGCAACAGGATAACGCCCCATGCCACAAAAGCAAAATGATAAGAGCATTTTTAAGCGATGTTGGTGTTACTACTCTGGATTGGCCACCACAAAGTCCGGACTTAAACGTTATTGAGAATGTGTGGTCTCTTGTAAAACGTAAAAGAAATGCGTCTTTGCATAAAACCGAAGAAGAAACTATTTCCGAGGTCACTTCTCTTTGGAAAGAGATACCATTAGAGGTCCTTCAAAATTTAGTGGACTCAGTTCCAAGACGTCTTCAAAAAGTTATCGAAGCCAAAGGCGGGTATACATTTTATTAATCTACCATCAATTTCTTATGTTTTGTTTAGTATTAAGCTTTGTTTTTTTTGTTAATATCCATTGTCAAAATACTTATGCCAACCCATGAAAATTACCTTGATTTATAATTTTAAAAGTTCTTATAAAAATATATCCTTTGAATTATTTTTAAGTTTGTAATACCAATATGGAATTGAGAAAAAAAGTTTCCTTTGATATCTTAAACCAATAACCAGTTATTGACAAAAATGTATGATTTTCTTCTCGTCAAAATAATTGTGCCGACCAGTGTAAATGCGTTTTCACTGTCGAATTTTCCCCTTAACTCCATCTCATGACTATTCAGTCACATGTACACCTATTTCTCTACTTGAATTGAAATTGTAATTATGGTTTTGATTTATTTGAATGCTTTCGTTTCTTTACTGAATTTTTCGCTCTTCATCATTTCACTCACTTTTTTCTATTCTATTGAACGTGATGTGATATTGGTGTGTTTTTTACTTAAGTAAACATTTATATATGTACATTCATATTTTATATGTATGTATAAGTATGTAGTTAATTTCTTAAAATTTGTTTTCTGTTTTTTCTTGTCTTTTTTGTTTCATCAATTTTTATAGCTTATTTATTTCACCTTGTCATACCCTGTACCCGAAAGATAAAAGGGTGTATTCGGCTTGTACTAAGCATGTAATAGGCAGAAAAGAGAGTCTTAAACCTCAGAAAGTACATTTATGTAAGTAGTATACTCATGCAAATATTCTTGATAAGCACGACGAGAGTTTCGACTGTTCTCTGATTTAGAAAACGGTCAGAAGCACAGCACAATATGAGTCTATTTTATTTCTTATGGGTTTTTTCGTTTCCCTTTCATCTGGTACGAAACATCATTAAGGATGGTACTTAATTGCAAAGCAGTAGAGACCAAAATATGCTCTCCACAACTATTATGTGGTTTACATTCTTCTCAAGGGGGCTATTGATGATACAATTTGTAGCTAATGCGATTGCACTCCTCTTCTTCTTTTTTTAACCAAAAGAAGATCATTCGCGCGACAGCAGTTAGGTACGTCGCGCTCAGACATCAGTGACATCATCCTCTAGCTTATCATGATTACTTTATTGTTATATTCATGCTATTTGCTTATGTATTATTCTATAATATTATGTTTGTGTTTTTATTTATTTTTTTTTTATTTTATAGGTGACTATTTAGTGGCTTCTTACTTTTATAACCGGACTGTTTCACAATTTAATGTTTGTTAGTTTTTATTATGTTTCGATTTATTTCGTTTTTTAATTTACGATTTAATGATTGATATGTTAAACTATTTTTATCTTCGTCTATTATTATTATTTGTTTCTTTATAATACGCATGTATTGGTTTATCTTTGTTTTTAGCTCGAATCGGTTTTTATCACAATATTTCATAATTAAAATAGTTGATTATATTAATAGAATTCGTCATTTTACGTGAGCTTTTTTAATGTGATCGTTTGTTCTGAGGACTCCAATCCTAACAGGAACTGCACTAAGTTATAAAATCAGAATGTTAGCCCAATTATTTGTATTTAATCAAACCTAGATTTGCGGCATTTTCTGTGCAAAGCTCTAGATATACTTGCATTGAATAAATATAAAAATTCTCTCCGAATCTGTTTCCAATTTCATTTCAAAGTATTTGTTTCCGAAAATGGCTAACAAAATCTATGTTAGCTTTAGCCATTCAAGTTTTTAGCAAAAACAATATTAAAATTAACATTAATTACTTAATAAGTTAATTAATTATTCATATATATTATCTTTAGTAAAGTGAAAATTTTGAATGACCGGCGGAATATATCGCTTTGGTCAAGTTCTGGGTCTCACCTTAAATTCATTTTAAAAACATTTTTATCTGTTCCTTATGCTACTTATTTCCATTATTAGAAACCCAGGACTAAGAAATTGCTGTAAAGATTACTCTTCTATACTCTCTTCCTCTTCTCTCTGCATGCTATATTATATTATCATTCTTAATGAAATAGTACATCGATTCTTTAGAATATTGTTAGACATTAAAACTTAGTGTTGTTTAAAAGTGATGTTTGCATTATATGGCTAATGGTAAGCTTGATCTAGATTAGACAAGTCCCAATACATAGACAGACAGACTGTTGGATATTTCTCCCCTTCCGTTACATACAATTAGATTTTTCAAGAAAACGCCAAAGCCTCGCCAGTCCGGTACAATCGGACTTCCATTCTTTCTTTCTTTCCCTTTCTTTTCGGCACAGTCCTTCGATAAAAAATAAATAAATAGTAAATATAAATACATAAATAATATGTATAATTATTTAGATATTATTTTAAATTATTGTTAATGTATGATTTTTCTCGACGCAAAATTATAAATATTTTGAATTATTCAACAAAAAGAGTTCGGCCGAACAGTGTTGAAGAGTATACTTGTAAGAATTAAGTGTGCGCGACATAGTATTCGTTTATTTTAATATATTTTTATAATTATTTTCTCTGATTATTTGGAAATTGAATTCATTATTCATTTTGTTTCTCAATCCCAAGAAGACGATTTCTTTGCCAGCTTAATATTTTCTACTAACTGTTTTAATTGAGGAAAGATAGTGCTGCTAAAATTGTAGCAGAAACTCCAGCTTGAGGCTGGAAATAACGCTAAAAACTGCCTCCACGGTATCGTTTTTTAAATGGAACAGGAATGAATATTTATAATTATTTAGATAAAAAGCATACACGTGTAGCAACAATAATACACTCAAGCCCTTTCCTATTAAGTCTCATCTCATCATGCTTATCAACAACACATTCTTGTTTATTGCTTCGCGCTAAGCCTTCTATCCTCAGAGTTCAGGGACTAAGTTAAGAGCTGGTCTTGGAGCCAACCAAGTGTGCCTATTGACGACCAACCTGTCCAGTGTCGCAATACAACACATACTTATGGGTTGGGCGGTTGGGCGGTTGGGTGGTTGTATGGGTGTTCTCGTTGAATAATGCTACTCAGACCTCTGTATGGAGTCAACAAATCAGCACTTCTAAGCTCTACATTTGGCTGCGATCCTACAGTCCGCAATGGGTTTGAATTGAGACAATGTAGGACAGGACTTGGATGAATACCCAACAATAATGGGTGTGTATGCATTGCTCATCTGATTAAACGTAAACATCGACGGAGACGGCGAACGGTGGTCGTGGGGGGAGCGGCGGCGTAGGTGGTGGTGGCGGTGGCGGAAGCGGTGGTGTTGGTGGCGGTGCAATCATATGACTGCACATAGGCGAACTTCAAATGCTGCTCGAACGTCCGGCCCCAGTGCAAACGCCCGATGTGGTGGTTACATGGTGGTTTCGCAGTGCTACCTTATCTAAGTGAACGAGGCGAGTGGGCTTGGCGGACATCTGTGCGAATAGTGCAGCGATATACATATATATGTATATAATTGAGGCAGCTTAGAGTACAGGAAACTTTGCAGCTCACCTCATCTGCCTGCTGACAAAGCTTGGGCTTAAACCACGGCCATTTGATAGTACGCATCAGGGTGTTCCGAAAGTCCTCGCTGAACAAACAGTAGATGTAGAAGGTGATCGAATAGTTGATGAGCTCGAGCAAATTGGCCAGCGCTCGGAAAACCTGGAAAGAGAAGCTGGGCAGCACCTCCGATGCAATGGTCATGTGTAAGATGGCCATGGGTGAGACGCAGGCCAGGAAGAGCAGGGATGTGCTGCCTAGTAGAAGGAAGAGCCGACGCTCCTCAGCAAATTTACGGGGATCCTCGTCCTTAACGTAAATAGCACGTGTTAGGACCATTTGGCGGCGACGTTCGCAGGTGCGTCGATAGACCTGCATGATGCGTGCATTGAGGCCAGCTATGACGACGGTGGGTATAAGCTTGAATACGACTTCCAGAGTGACCTTGTAGATCTAAACACATAGTATTTATTTATTGGCATTTATGTAGATACTTTTTATTGAGCTCCCCCAATGCTACTTACCGTATAAAAAATGGTGTGCTGATAGGCTTGGTTATCGCGCCGCAAATAGACATAGACATTCCGTCCAACCAACAAGCACTTGATCAACTCGCCTCGAAAGATGCTCGGAAGATACATTATGAAGGTCAAGAGGCAGGTCATAAAGACAACAAAACTGAACACAAAAGAAATCTTAGTGAGCAGCAATGCACAATGGTGCGTGGGCATCTATCCCATCCTTCTCGAGAAAGGGACATTAGCGACAGTTACACGAAATACATAAGTTGCACTCGAAAGTGCCATATAAACATATTGTGTCAGTAAGTTATAAAAAGCGCACCATAGACTCTATTATACTTCGGATATACGAAGAGAAAAATGTTTTAAGAACAAATAATTTGATCCAAAACGCCGATCCACTAAGCGGATTAAAGCAGAAACACGCTCATTGCTCTACTGCTTTGTTGTTATTTATTTGTTTACTTATAGTTAACAAAGAACTGCTAACTTTGCAAGAAAATAACAATAATATAACTTAAAACAAAATTCAACAAGTGAAACAAGTAGTAGCGCAAGACAGGATTAGAGACTGTCAGAATCAAGTTGCAAGTATTAATGATGAAATAGTCTTAATGAAGTGTTCGAAGGATATGTTGAGTGAAAAATAATTGTCATTTGAACACAACACACGAATGGGTTCATGTGAAGCAATGTGAGATCTACAAATAGGCAATCGAGAGCTACGAAATGCACGAGTAAATCTTAAGGGAACTGCCAAGTGTACGAGGCTAAGAAGGAAAGGATAGTCAATATCACCAGAAGGAGAGTGACTCCTGAACAAATTCTACGGCGATGTAAGAATGGTGGGTCTACTTGTATTAGTTTTAACCTGGATACTCTCTAAGTTTAAGCCGATTTTTCATTGTCACTGAGCGTGAGAACTGTGCGAATGAATACATACCCTGGGGGTCCAATAACGGGTCGCGAGAATCCTGGATGGCAGACAGAGACGTAGCGCTCGATAGTCAAAACCAGTAGCATCATGACACCGACGCCTACTTAAGGAAATAGAGACGGCAGGATTGAGAAAAGCTCGTGGAAAAGTTACAAATACTTACCCAAGCAGCCATTGCCTAGAAAAAGCTCCAAATGTGCGGTATAGAAGGCCGGTCCGAACTCTTCCCATTGGCCACGATCCTTGTGAACCAGCATCCGTATCCCGAATGGTATGGCGAACACTATGGCAAGCAGTGCGAACGTGGAGTAGGCTAAAAAAATCCCAAGAGCGTGTCGTTAAAGCAGTTTTATGGTTTTCATTTATGGCAGACTACAGCGTTACTTCCGTTACTGGTCCATAAAACATCCGGAACATCCTAAGCACACACACACACACACACACACACACACACACACACACACACATGCACACGAATACTCAAGCTGCGTGCTTGTTTTATGCTCCGTTCTGTGCTTTGTATGTTGTGTTCTTCGTTTTCTGTTACGCTTGCCTTCTTTATTTTGAATTCTCCTTCGAGGCGCCCATTTTGCTTGCCTTCGTTGTTTTGTTGATAATTTTTCTACTTATCGCTCATTTGTTAGGCTCATTTGAGTGGGCGATTGTTTGTACTTATATTGCATATAAGTGTATGTGTGCATGTGCGTTGGGGTGTGTTTATATGGGCACATGTGCGTATTTTTATTGATTTATGATTTTGTTTATAGCTCTATAATTACATTATTACTTGTAGGGCTGAATGCCTGTGTGTGTCACTGGCCTGCAAATTGTTGAGCACACAAAACCGAACGCCTAATACGACTTCCTCTTCTACCAAGCTCCCAGCTCCCAACTCCCAGCCAAAATCTGAGACACACCCCCATCGTTAATGTGGTGCTGACAGCACTCTGGGCTTTGCCTATGGCCAGCATTTTGCGCTAAGCCTCTGGCAGGCATGAAGCGGTTAGTTGTGAAGAAAATAAGTATCAGAAAATAGAGTGTATTTCGAGTTAAGGTAAACAGGTCAAGCAAAAAAAGCACCTTCACATACTTGTATACACCTCTTTCCCGATATCAAAAGTGGGGTAAACATCAGGTGTTATTATTATTACTTTTTGTTTAAGGAAGGTTTTCAGAAAGTGTGATTATATTTATGTAGTATAAGTACTAATATGAAAAGGCTAATGCAATAAAAATTTCATTTAAATTAGCGCAACCAAATAATTTTCTGTGCCACTTGCCGTGCTCTTTGTTGGTTTGTTTTTGAGAAACTTTTGTTCTATTTCTGTTTCTCAAATGGCATTTTGCTTCTTTTTTTAAGTAATAATAAGAGTTTTGTGGAAATGGAGGAATAGTGAACAAAAATGGACCCAAAGTGAGATCATAATATTTTCAAAAGCAGAACCTATATCAGTATCTGATTACAGATTAATGAAATGTATGCGACAGATGTCGTGCTATAAAGAAATGAACGAAATTATTATTGTGGGCTACGCAAATATTTTTGTTTAGCAAAGAAATTTCTTTTTTTGCCCCAACAAGGGCCAGAATATATAGCAGGGGATCAAGGCGATACATGCAGTTAAATCATTTTTAAATTTCTGAACAGAAACAGGTAAAAAAGTAAAATACATCATCGCTTCCTTTGGCAAATCAATTGATTATTATCAAGGAGTGTTTGGAAAAGGATTAAGGCAGTAGAAAAATGTCCACGCCACCTTTATTGGTAATTACATAAAACCATACCCAACGAAATAGCTTTCAATAATATTCTATATAAATTAACCTTGGGACCCAACTTGGAGCATTTCCCAGAAGATGAGCTTCGGCGGTCTCTTTTTAAAAAAATAAAAAACCCCCCCAACACTTTATATTTGTCTTACAGCGTGCTCATTAGCGGAGTCGTGGTTACCCCCTCTGATGAAAAATTGGCTACGTTTATGGCCATGCCTATTTGCGTAGAGCCCGTGGTCAGCATCCACTAACCGTGTGGCCGTTAGGGACATGTGCGCGTGCGTGTGTGTGTGTGTGTGTGTGTGCACGCACACATGCTTGTCAGGGCGAATGTGAATGCTAGTTTATTTGCCATACTGCTGGCCACCTAATTGGGTATATCGATATAAGCGTCACTTTATTGAGGACTTGACAACTGCTTGTCACTTGATTTGTTCATAATGTCAGTTCGAATTAAACACATCGTCCTCCTCTCCTGAATTCGGTCCCAACAATGCCACAAACAAGCTTTAGACTCTGTATGTATTTTTATGGAAGTAAACTAGATAACGAGCGGAAATGCCATCACATTAGGGAGAGACGACCTTGTCAGCAATAAGGGATTTAAAACCACTTTAAGAGTCTGAATGTAATCTTGTTTTCTTTAGCAAAAAGTTTAATTTTATTTACTTCCGCATATCTTTGGTTTCATTTTTCTCAATTATTTGTATCCAATATCGACATGGGAGCTTCCACAAAGACGAACTTGCTCTGCTTAGAAAAATAGGGCCTATAGCATTTTTTTATTAGTTTTTAAAAGTGTACAGAAAATTGCGATTAATGGGCATTAGAAGCATTCGCTTAAATAAAATCGAACATGAAATCCATTAGCCTTCGTACTTAGATTCACGAATGGGAACAAGCTCGTGAATTAAATGTTATCGCCTTATTATTTCTCTACGGTTCTTAAACATGTATTAATAAATAAAACAGGAGAAAATCCGCCAAAAAATAAGATTTTTTATTTAAAATCGAAAGTAAAAAATATGAGGGAGGCGAGTTGGAAATTCAAATGTTGTCAATAAATTACTTAATAGAGATTATTTGTTTCTCTGTAGAATATAGATTTGAGAGAGCAACTGAGAATGAAAACACCTAAAAAAATCCCAAAGTCAACCGAAAGAAAAATGGCTTGGCGTCTGTTTTAGAAACTCCAGACATTAGTAGAGTTTATTAACTACATATTAAGCTCTAACTAACTAATAGGCCGGCTTTATGAAGTTTCTCGATTGAAAAGTAAAAACTAACAGAAGCAGCTAGCTTGTGGGACCCAAAACAGTTTATTTTATTCTAAAGATTTTGTTGTTAGTGTGTCCGTAAAATACTAGTAAAGGTACTACTTTTTATGGAAATTTTTAAAGTTCCATTGTTTTCTTTTTCTGTAGCTTTCGGCGCCTGTTCTGTCATTAAGCAGCAGAAGCCAGCGATCAAAGACTCTCAGGAAAGCAAATGATGCCAATTAAAAGGACCGCACTGTGCAAGCACGGAACAACTTGAACTAATTGCCTATGTCTTAACATACATATATACCACGAGTATATATGTGCATAGTGTGTTTGTATATAGGTTAATAACAGCCTACTGCTCTGTCCACTGTAGATGAGGGGCTACTCGAGTAAACAGGCTGCCGGCAGAAAATAATTCTGTTATTTCAATAAAATAACTACTCTGATTTCGGTCATTATTCCACACGGCCCTCCAAACGTCCTTGTCGTTGCTATTCTTATTGTTGTTGTTGATTCCGGCTGGCGTGTCGCCTTTTTACTTTAAGCTTCGCCTCCGGTTCGTTTGTGTTGTTGTGTTGCTGTTGCTGTTGCGCAAACCCATTAAATTGATGTTTTCCACTTTTTCCATTTTATTTGTCGCTTTTTTCTGCGGGGAATAGTCATCGCGGCAACGACAAAGGCAACGGCACGGCACAGGCACCGCCTCGGCGATATTTTAAGCCAAAGGGTCGTCTCACTTTACATTTTCTAGTTTCGCTGGGCAATCAATTATGCTGTCTTGCCAACACATGTGCCTTTCGGAATCGAAGTGAGGTGCTCTATGGATTTTTACTAGCCTTAGTGTGAGCCGAAAGTGGTTTGGTTTCTCTATTTGTATGCAAGAGACAAACCGAACGTTCTTACTGGCTTCCATTAATAATACATAATTGTGTGGTCTTCTATGGACCATGAGTGTCTTTTCTGGCTAATTGCTAAATTTTAAGTTAGTGCTCATTCATCAGGCAGTAGACCCTCAGAAAAATGTCGTGCTGAAGATGTGCTTGGGTTGGTTATTTGATTATTGCGGGCTTTTATGGCCCTTCTAACTAATGACAATAGACGAAACCATTCTCAAAATAAAATTGTAATGAGTAATCTCTTCAAATTGCTTCCTGACGTGCGAACCATTTAGCGGTTAGGTTGATGTTCAAATTGTTTCGCTAATAACTTTTCTTAGAGTTGATTGAAATTTGAAATTTGAAAAAAGTCTAGCTTATGCTGCTTTGGAATTGTGGACAGATTGTAGCGGAGGAGGCGGCAAAGAATAACTCGTGTTGTCTGGATATTAGGAGAGTGTTCATGCCAAGCTTGTGCATGACTATAGCGATCCATTTTGTCTTGCTGATTAAGAATATACTTGTATAGTACATAGTTGTTTTCTTCTCCCTGCACAAGCCAAATATACTTTCAATATATTTTCATGCTGTGGGTACAGTGCACTGCAGTGTATAAAAAGCGTGGAGAAGAACGACAACAACAGCAGGAACTTAAAGAATAGAGCCCGCCGCTATGTGGACATGCTAAGGTTGTTTTTTCTGGCGCTTAAGTCCTTGTTGGCCGGCTCCTCTTTGAGGGCCGGGCGATTCATTTTGGTTGCCTGCTCATTAATCAATTAAAACACCATAAAGCAAACGGTTGCCCTAATAGAGCCACATCCTTTTTCTGGTGTTGCTGCTATTGGGCTTGCCGATGGCATTACTTCCATTTTGGCTTTCCTTCATCCTTGGCCTGGCAGACATCGGCTTAACGGGGGCTTTGCATAAATTAGTTTAAGCGCGCCCGTCGCCACTGTGTGTATGAAACGCGCATAATGAAATAAATTTCCGGGCTGTGTCAGCACGCGCACGTGTCACGCCTCCATAAGCCCACGGAGGCAGTCACACACTCACACATAACAATAGAATAGATAATAATGGAGACAACAAGGAGTTATGACTTAAGACGGTTCAGACTGTGAAAAGTATTTCACGAACTACTTGCCTCCTTTTGTTGCAAACTTTCGCATCCTCGTAATAAATAGACTTAAAAGCTAAAGCAGCTGGATGACCTTTATGGAACCCTAAACACTTGGTATTACATCGAAGACGAACATTAAATGCTGCTTTCGTTTGTCACAATTCTATTCCAATGAACCGCACGGGGTCGGACTAAACCACCATCTAAGCGGGTACTGACTCGTACTCTATCGTCCACCAAGAATGTGACGCTGTATCCTGCGAATGGACGTTTGACGGCCCAGAACTAGACTATGATTCGACATAGAACGGGGTAGCAGGGTAGTAGAAAAGGCGATAAATGTACTTGTGTCTCTTTGTAGACTACCTCACAAAAGACTATCGCTACTCTTCTATGGCATTCCCCTTAATAATACTTGTAATAAACTGCCAGCACAATTAAATGCCAAACAATATTATTTCGATGGCTTGCATATTAACATACTCGTATGTATTCATTGCAAGGTACCCTGTTCCTGATTGATGCAGAAACAGGACTTTGAAGGTTGAAATTGGAAAAACCCAATAATTAAGCAAGGAAGAACATTTCAAAACAGAAAGAGCGAATAAATGTTATTCAAGATTCGGCTCCTCTCTCTCGACATTATCGTAAGCTGATTAATTATCGATTTCTTGAAAATTTGTCAGGGTTCAGTTCGTACAAACTGTTTCAGTGTCTGAGGTTTTCTGACTTACCTCGCATGTAGATATAGGCCGTGCCACGCATGTTGCGACGCGTCAGGACAATTAAGTTGAGCACATTGCCAATAATGCCGAGAGCACAGATGATGGGCAGCAAGATGCCGTAGCAGTATTCGCGCAGCTTCTCGGTGCGAGGGTCCTCCACATCCTGTCAAACCCAACCAAACGAGACAGGACGGGCCGAAGCGAGGCGAGGCGAGTGGAAAGGATATGAAACGAAACGAGAAACAAACGCAATATATTATAATGGAACAAGCAAAGTAGATAAGAAGCTGTAAAAAAGCGCAACTCGTAAATCATCCGGCTTAGAATGCGTTTGCGTGTGTGCGGGCTTTGTTTTTTCCCTGGAATTCGGATGGTGGTCGATATAAAATATTTAAGTAACATAATAGTACAAAAGCAGCGATCCCTTTGATGCTAGCAATGCATAATCCAAAGTGGCCTTCTCTCTCTCTCCCTCTCTCTCTCTCTCTCTCTGACAAATGCATCGACCGATTAGCTGAGTAACATAGAAAACAACTCTCAGGTTTAAGTCCCACAACTGACATTAAGCCAACCACCTCGGGTGGTGCCACATATCAGGCAACAAGAAGTTGCAATTTAGAATTACATTAAATAATATTCTATGCCTTAAAATTGCCTTTTCTTTGTACTCCGATTTCAGTGGGAAACTGATTGGGTCTGGTCCTTTGAGCGCCAAAGGTGTGTATAGTTGTGTGTGCATCTGCGAGGCTTTGAGGTGCCTCAGATGAAAATTCAATAGTCAAGTTGACACTCTTACAAGTATTGCTACTCTGACACACACGCAGGTGCATTTCACACTTACACGCACACAGTCACTTCTATTTATGCAAGGCAGAGTAAGATATCTACAATATATGAGCATGTGCATTTTCACTTTTCCTTTTTCTTACCACCAATCCGACGGTTTGCCCCCCACCCCCACCTTCAGAGCCCTGGCAAGTTGCAGGCATAGCTGGAATTGCATTTCGATTTGAGTTGTCAGCAAACTTTTAGCATGAACTACTTCATTTGCCTCTAGTTTGATGGAGGTGCCGGGGCCAACATGAACCTCAGTGCTGATGCTCATCATCAGAGAGGCAGCTCAGATACTTAGACCAGATAGCTTATTAAAATGAAAGCAACAGCAACTTGTTGTTGTATGTAGAAGGTGGAGATGCAATCGTTCGATATGAGTTGATATAGCAACACTGTTTTAAAAGAGAGCATTTGTCGACGCCAACTTCTGGCAGTAAATTGATGAATTACCGCATTTCACATGGTCATGAAATGATAAGGACGACTCTATGATGCCAACATGGATCTAACAGAAGCAATTGGTGGCACGACTCCAAAGTATCATACATCCCCTGCTATACTAATAATAAACCTACTTGGAAAACTGATATCAGACTGTGAAGTTCGCTTTTGTACATTTCCCTGTCATTCTGTGCGAGCCAAAAGCAGTCTGCCATTTGTGACTTTACTTCGTTCGGAAGTAAACTACTTAACCTGGACCTTCCCTTTGCCATGCTGGCAAGTTTCCAGCTTTAGCTGAACAGCACCGAAGACACATTAGCATTTAGAATCGAGTCTGTTGTGCCAACTCGCGATAGTCTGTAAAAATCTACTCGTGCCATCTCGCATCAATCTAGCGTACCTTTTAAGAACCTCTTAATACTATACTTATTTGAAACTACACATCGAATAATGGCTAGCAGAGGTATCCTTCTACTTCAAAAAGCGTAGGGAAAATGGCCAAACACAATTTTATTTTATTAAAACATATTTTTATAAAACGTCTTTGGCCAACTTATGAGAAAAGTCGACGGGCAACAATTTGGCAGACGCAGACAATGCCACATAATCTGAAAACGGCAAACATCTGCCCAATTTTTTCTCTCCTTTTTTCTTCCTCTCAAAACATGCGACTCGGGAGCAGGCTTAGGGCACAGAGAAGTCATGCCGTCTGAATGTCTGTCTGATCGCTGCCGAAGATGCCCGTCAATCATTACGTTATTATAAAATTGTCCCCAAAATATCCCTAATAGACTGTTGTAAAGGAAATAGTCGAACTAGATTTCCAACTTTTTTTTCCTAAAATTGATTGTGGCAGACGATAATTAAATTTAATTTTTTGACCTTGTCAACGAAACAGAATTGGAAACAGAACACAGTTTCATTGAAAAGCAATGTTTAGAATTGAAGTTAGTGACATTCCATCTACTTCATCTTCTTCTTCTTGATTTAATTTTATTCTTATTATTTATGCCAATGCCACTAGTACTTGTTAAAAACTTATTAAAGTAAGACAAACAGCAAGACTCACAAACATTTCTAAGTTGCATTTGTTTGCTGAATGATGGTTTCTTTGGTCGCTCCTCCGATTACACAGTGTATGCAAAACTAATTTCAGCCATATAGTATTTTTCAAATCACTAACTGGCCTTCTTTCAAAATTGGTGCAACCTGCCCACAAATTATGGGTAGATTTGCTAATATATTTGCCTAGAAGCTATCGGTGCAATCATACAGAGACGATAAGAATGAGTTTTTTTTACTCACCGAGTAAAAATCATCGCGCAAGTCGCTAGTGAAGAGCGATGTTGAGTTACTGCCGCCGGCGAGATCATTGCTGTTGGTTAGATTATCACCCCAGATGAATGAGCAGTAGGCTGGATCCTCCACGGTGTTGTAGAGCCTTCTTATCATAGTGTCGGCCGGGATGCCGTGCTTGGGCGTAGCTCTAGTTGTTGTTGTCGTCAGAGCTTTCGCTGTGCCGTTCGAGTTATTATATTTGCGTGAGTGGAAGAGGAAAGAGTTGAAAATATGTAAATATACGTGTAAGGAAAAAAGAATAGCCCCCACCGCCCTGCTCATAAATGAACAGATGAACAGGAGCGTGTCATTCAAATAGCAGAACGATGGCAATGCTGATTCCGATGCCACCAGGCCTAGCGGAAACGGAAGCGTTCACTTGGACACTTTGCGATAAAATCAAGAAGGACAAAATAACAGAAAACAGTTAACTTCAAACAATCGAGCTATGGCCGAGCCGTGGCCATGGCGGAACAATTGAGCCTTTGATTGCGCGAGGCACGAGAAAATTAACAAAAAGTAACAGGCGGTTGCCAGAGTTACATCCTCGTTCTATATAGTACGTACGTGTATGTACTATGGGGCGAGACGTCAGAGGGCTATGTGTACCGATAGGCAGACAAGAGTTAAGAGCAAGCGGCAAACAGAGGCACCAAAAGGTTGACAGTCAGTCAAAAATGCGAAATAAATGTGTAATAAAGTGCTGCAAATAATTGCGTGCTGTAAATAAAATGTGAAATGTATGAGAGCGAGTGTCAAAGGTGGGGCGAGTACTTTCGAAGGCGCCTCTTGGGTCTGTTTATTGGATTGCTTATTTGCTTGCTGAGTGGGAGAAAGGCAAAGGGGTATCCTCGTCCTCGTACTCGTAGGTATTCAGCGCTGTTCCGAATTACATCGCCTCTTTCAAAGAGAATGACCATATTTGTGTTTACCGCCTGCCCAAATAGAGCATTCATTTATATGCACCTTTGCTGCCTTTTATCTTTACAGCATTCCATTCCGTTGACGGAGCACAAAGCCAACCAAACAAACAATACGTTGCAATGACAACCAGCTGAATAATGGGCATGAAGTCTATAGTCTTGCATGAAGCATATGTGGTAGGTAAAAGCATATACCAGTAATACCTGTGGCTCCCCCCGACTCCCATCGACTTGCAAAATGCCACCAAAATGAAGCTTCATTGTGTCCGTTTTAATATTGCGTCGAGTACGCAACTCAACAATACGGACTCCGGAATTCAATTTAATATTCTACAAGCCTTGTCCGAACGCAGTTTACAAGGCGACTGTAGGAAACAATTTGACAAGGCCAGAAGACCTGGAAATCCTGCTGGAAGTCCTATAAGCGGAAATTAGTCACTTACAAATCGGCATTTACAAAGGCTAACCGGTTTTTTTAGGCATAAAGTGTTGGCAAAGTTACGCTTCCTCCTGCAGAGATTGAAGACGGCTGGTGGCAGAACGTTTGCTAAAAAACCCTAAAATTGCTACTCAAAACCAATATCCCGGAGTTCACAGATAGCCTCAGTACAAGCCACATGCTTCACCTACGCCAATTCATCTGAGAAATGATAACAGATGTAGTGCGCTTGTCTCGCGTAGCAGAACAGATTTTTAAATTTGTATATGAGCCCAGAAGTAGGCAAAGAAGTTATATTGGTTCCCTTCTGATCTATGCCTGTTCCTACTTGTAGTTCGGAGGAGTTATCGCCCCCTGGTGGTTAGAGAAAGTAGATGTAATGTCATTACAAATTTCTTTTGGCCGGCACCCGTCGTCAAAGGACGGAAGAAAGGAGAAATGTCCGCGAACGGAGGTTACCTGTCTTCGTCGCCAACCAAGCTCATTCTTTTTAGTAGCGACTCTACTAGTGAAAGTACTTAGAAAGTAAAAGAAAATTATACAAGTTATTGCAAAGTGTGGCTTACGTTTATATAACCCATAATATTTCCATATATGCTGATTAGTAGAAATTCTAAATTCTAATTTAGAGCGAGCGATTGAAGCAATAGAAGCCCCCACCCAGAACCCAGGAAATTAGTTCACATAATTTGTGGTGCTGTTCCAGTTAGGGTAGGTTATTGGCATCATATATATTTTTTTTTTGTGTGTAACAAAGGCTCTCTTATATTTAGAATTGGCACCACAAGTGCAATTTCTAGCACAAGTGCTATTTTGTTCTATGTCTTAGAACAAGTGCAGCTTATCCCCCGAAAAGCTCTGCACCGGCTCCGTCATACTGATAGAATAGGCGACAGTTCACCGTCGGCCTTTATATTCGACAGTCGCCGCGTGCCGCTCAATTTTTAATTTTTGTCAAAGTGCGCTGAGTCAGCTGTTTGGTTTTTTTACCCAGAGGAGTCATTGACCTCGGGCCACCGAAAAGAAATTAATAACTCGCGTCGAACGGTCCAGCAAAGTGTCAACGTGGAAGATTCGGTTTGAAGCTGTATGAGCGGCAAAATTTGGCTGGGTGTTCGTCCCCTAATCTCCAAAATGGAGTGAAGGACACAAATTACCCATTTAGTTATTCATTATTTTTTTATATATGGTTTAAAAATTTTCTTTTTTTTTTTGTTATAGCGCATATAGTGCGCTGAAAATTTGTGAAATAATACATATGTATATGCAGAAGCAAAATATGCGCTAGCGCAAGGCAAAGGGAAAAAAAATTAACACCACCAACAATATAGTGGAAAACAAAATGTAGAGCAATTAGCTTTGACGCCGCCGCCTCTCTCGCGTAGTATTGTTCTTGTTTTCAGCTGGCAGCCACTCTCGAAAGACCTTTTGGACGTGGATCCACTAGCTGTACCACGCTTTACTTATTTACTCCGTAATATTATTATTTATATTATTTTGCTCTGATGCTGCACATATGCCTTTAGATTTTAAAATTGTTAACCATAATTTTTAATTATCACTTTATATTTGCTTTTATATTATATACATTTTTATATGCAGTTTTATGTGGATAACCGAAGTTGAAATTATTTTTATTTTATATTAATCACCACGTATAGGCATTTAAATGAATTTAGACCAAATTTAAATTAAATGAATTGTTACACCATGATTTTTTAACGTGTCGTAATTTTCTAGAAGCCATGACGAGAGGTGGGCTATTGACGTAGGTTCTGGTAATATTAGGGATCATTGGTTTCGACCTGCGGCCAAAGGTGATCATGGTAGGGTGGGCACAGAACCTGCTGACGTAACACCAGCAGCGCAGCAGAGACCAGAGGTAGAACACTTTAAAACGACAATCTAGTTTTTCCGTACTCGCTTTCATATCCAATCTACCACTTTCCTCCAGAGTAAAGAAAAGCACGCGAATTTTAATGGCATTAAATATTAGCGATCGAGCAGGTAGCACTGCGGCCTTCAAGAAGAACCACCCCCATATTGCCGACGACCGCCGTAGCCGGAACAAGCGCGTGCTCCGCTTAGCCGCTACACCGACCATCAGCTCGCCCAACAGTAGTAGCGATATACTTGTACGTTGCATGCTACACAGACCATAAAGACTTTTAATGCCTATAAGTCCTTACCATCCCAACTCTAGTACTCTCTAAGGCACAAAATTAAATAACTGCAGGCAATGATCAACAGCCCGGCATCTGTGTGCTCTATCAACCCAAACTGCTGCTAAAACTAAAAGGATTGAAGTTTCCATGGTATTAAACGTAATTCTATAGAAGTTGTAGAGAAGAGAAAGGGAAGGAAGAATTCTACAACACCTTATTGTTGTTATTGTCCAGCACTTAGCAAGTTCGGGGGCATTGCTTGAAACCTTTCTAAAAAATCTTAGAGAAATACCAAAAATGGAGCTTGTTAAACTATCAAAATTCATTAGTAAAATCGGGTGATTGAAGGCGGAACAATATGGAATAGCTTATGCCTTTTCTTCTCGAAGTTAAGAACTATCGTGATAAGTCAATTATAATGGAAGCCACGCCCACAGTTGTTGTTGTCGCTGCATAGACAGAATCCCTATGAAAAGTAACGCAATTCAAAAAGATGTTATATTATTTGTTTTGTTATTTAAATTTGGTTAATTTTTAAATGTATTTAATTTAAAATCAATTTTAATTAAAACGTCGCGAATTTCAAAAATGATGCCAAATAACTAATATTGAAAATCCCATTCCGAACCATGAATATATTAAATGTGAGAAAAGAATATATTTTATTATCTTATATAAGTAGTATGTTAGAATTGGCAACTGCTTTTTTACAGTCGAGAATTGCGGAAATTATGATTGAACCTAAAGTTAGAGGTTTTGAAAGGGTCTTTTGGTTCGACACTGCAAATACTTGTAGGAGATCTGTGTAGAGGTATACTTGTAGTCCCCTCTACAATAACAAATACTCGATTACCCGACTGTTTGCAAGGAATACATAGGAATACGCGTGTGAAGAGTACTCACCCACCGATTGGTCCCAAATACGGTGAACATTTAGATGGGCGGTCGTCTTGGAAATCTGTAGCTTTCCCAAATGCAACAAGCTTGCTTGTACTTTTCCTAGTTTTCCTTGTTTTCCTTCAGCTCCTGCTGCTTACTCCTGCTCAATTTCGATTTCTTCTTCGTTTATCGGACGTTCGTGCTATTAAGATTGGTTTGGTAAATTGTAGGGCTGTCGCTGCAGGCCTTTACCGAAATGCCAGATTCTTCAATTCTTGAATTCTTCAATTCTCCAGTTCAAGCGCTTCGATTGGCAGTGGCTTTATTGTTATGGCTGCTGTATTCGTAATTGCTGTTATTGTTTTTGGCCTTCATGCTGCTAACACTGGAGCTGCAAAGACACAAGTAGCAGAACAGTAACAACAGCAAATAGGATATAGCAACGTACATATAAAATCAACAATAGCATCAACGATATTGACATCGGCACAGCAACAACATAAAAGCTATAAAATTATGGATGTGATGTGCCATTTCTGTGTTTCTGGCAGTTGACAACTTTCCCGTTACTGTTTTTATTTGTATTTTATTATTTGGAGATGCCGTCGTCCTCACGCAGCCGAAAGTGCCACATTATTGGCATTTACACACACACACACACACACACACACACCAGCTTACATATGAAATATCAAGTAAATGTGTGTGCGAGAGCATTCTTATACTACTGGTGTGTACGTGTGTTCGTGCGCTCTGACGTCGCTGGCAACAGGTGTGCTTTATTTGCACTCGACACGTGGCAGATGGGCACGGTGGGTGGTGTTGCTGGGTCTACATGCATACATACATATGTACACATATACATACATACAAGTATATACGAGTACGTACAGTATGGGGCCATGGGCGGGATAGGGGTGGCCTGTTTCCGCGGCTCCTGGGTGTTTGCGTCAGGACATTAAAATCAACGTTAGCAGGCGCGTCACTTTTTGTACCGATTTTGATAAATTGCCCCCTGTTCTTCGCAATGACTTTAAAACATAAACATATACTTACACACACATGAACTGAGTAGTATATATGTACATAACATATGTATGTATGTATGTATAAACATACGAGCATACAGGTTCCCATATGAATGCTTCCTATCTCTAATGTTCAATCCAATTTAATGATTGTTGAATGCGCTTAACGCGACCATTAATTCACATGCCATATACCTGTTTGTACAGGCAGAATTAAATTGTGGAAAATACATACATTGTGGCAAGCACATAAACACCTTCGTCACAAACATCTTTCTGGATCCAAGGGCTAGATATGTACATACATATGTAGAAGCTACATAGAATAACCCCGCTCGGTATGCGAGCTCTCCTTAATCCACGAAATGACAAGCTTTGCTTGCTTTTTCTCAGTGTACCCATCTATGTAATACCCCGATCTTACTGTTACAGTTGCATCTTGTTACGGGCTATGTGAACTCATGTAAAGTTTCATCAATATAAGTAAACTTTAAGGAACGTGGAGCCACGTGCTCCGCCAGCAGCTGTTATTATTGTTTTTATGTTACAGTAGTGCTGGACGAAACATCGATGTTATGATATTTTATTTATACATCGATATTTTATTCCCGATGTTCTATGTTCTTTTCTACTTATCCACAGCTGAATTCTTATTTTTGTATGTTATACTTTCTTTGGTTTTTGTTATATAATATGACAAATCAAAATAAAGTTCCCCATGTTTAAACATCAATAAAGCCTTTAGAAAAATTCCTTAATAGAAGTTCGATGCATCGATAAAACGATGTTCTTCCCCTTAATAGATCGAATGTTTACCCACATCGATGTTTCTACAGCTCTACCGCACAGCACACATAATCTTAGATAAAAAATCCATGTAAAATATTCAAGTATGCAATTCAAAAAGAATATCGATATCGGGCGTTTAATTATAAGAAATCTTAAGTATGTAATTAATTTTGTGGTAGAAAGGGGACTTCAAACAACGATACAGCTCTCAAAATATCTGATATCAATTCTATGTTGAAAGAATGAAGTCCGCCTTATTATAAATATTACTGTGCATCTAGCCATTAGGAGGAAAAATGTTCCTTTTCCTGGTTCACAATATTTTTAAAATACAACAAACTTATTTTGAATAAGATGCATCTAAATTAGTTTTTTCATCTTTTGTTTTCAAAAAACACGTTCAAACATGCTCAATAATAGACGACATCCGTCTGTGTCCAAAAAATATAGGACATTTGCATTAGCCCATGCTGATGAGGAAAAGTGTATAACGAGCTTATGGATATGAACTTGTCTATCATATATTTATGATTAATAAAACATCGAATGCCACAGCGGCCGTCACACAGTTACCCCTTGTTTTCCATTTGATCGAAATTTTAACAATAAATATGTACTATAGAAGACAAATTAACTCAAGGATATATCTTCGATGGTGTACATATAGAACCTAGCCGTACCTGGTAATGCTAGACTTCTAGACTTACAAACAGTTCTTAATGTCGAATCTAGTATGAGCGCAAGTAGGCTTTGAAAATTCAATTATACCCATATACAATTTTTAAAAACATTATTCAGTCACTTTCCAGCTGCGAGCTACAGCAGGTCCTTCGGAAACAATTAAATTCTAAAATGGCTCAAACAAAATTCAAAGTGAAAAAGTATGACATGTAAGTTAAAAATATAAATTCGTTGAAGTTATAAACACTAATTGGCTGACTATTTGTACCAAAGCGGATGCCAGTAATAGGTATTGTCAGATTTCGGAAACATTATTGACCTGGAAATATCGAAAGCATAATTTTGCAATCAAACAGATTGCAAGAATACACGTCTTACAAAATGTTAAACTCAAATAACGATACTAAACTAAACTAACATACTCTTCACACATAAAGCCCAAGGTAAGAAACAAGATCCGAAATAAAACTCTCGCAGATTTTATTCAAATCTCTTTATTGACTTTTCAGCTTGATTTGGAAAAGCCACACCCACGTACACTATTTTAAACACCTGCCTTTGTTGGTGAGTATGTCGAGTCTGATAAATTGTGCCAATCATTCAAATGATAACACAACACCTTTAATTGCAATGATTCGCAAACAAAGAAGAATTGCTGAAGCCGGTACCTTACCCTCCACGTGTGATTCGAGATCTAAGCGGTGAGGGTCTGTGGATTGCGGAATACCAGGTGCTATTAAGAAATATCTACTGGCCGTTAATAATATTTCTTACAGTGTTATACAATATAATATGGTCTCAATAAAATACGACACTTTTAAAGTTGGGTGTTGAATTGATTTACGGGTTGGGATTTTCTATAAAAGTCTTTGACGCAAACAAATAATGAAGACAGCTGCTTATTTCGAAATGAAATTGGAAAAATTGTGGTCCTTTTGGAGTATGTCATGTGTATATGTTGATTTGGATTGTATATACGGCTTTAAGGCGTGTATTCAAACAGGATGTATCCTACATTACAAAACATGCGCTCAGAAGCAGTCGAGCATGCTGAAATGAATTATTAAAGTGATCCATGCGCCTAAAATATACGTATACTTGTACATATGTACATACAAATGCCACATGTCAGCGTGCCGCACGCTGCCTTACTAAATAAGGGATTTGATCATTAAAATTCATACCTGATTTGAAACGTTGTCAATTTTCCCGTCGTCCCTCCTCTTCACCAAGCCACCAACATACTAACCTAATCTTAAATAATATTAATTTTACTTACTTTTACCAGCCATTCAACGACACCGTCAAGTAAATGCGTGCATTTAAATGTACACGATTAATCGATTCTCATCAAAGTCGATGTTTAGCAAAAATGTTAAACATCGATTAAGTCGATTCTTCATCGATTTTTTTCTTGCAGCTCTACAGCCGGCTAAAACGATACAAGTTGTTGCTGAAATAGATCAAAAGCAGGCTAAAACCAAACAAGTTGTTGCTGAAATAGATCGAAATGACGCGATCTAATTTGAAAAACATGCATCCGCGTAATGTTCTGCGCACACCGCCCAACTATACGAAGTTACCTATTAAGCACAAGGACTTCCGAAGAGTGTGTACTTTGGTAAGAACATGTTACAATTTTCATTTACGATACATATGTACATTCACATGTACATACATATATGCACTTTCACATTGTCACATATGTATGTACGTTTACAATGCCATTGAATGCGCATGCATACATACATATGTATATAGATATTTCCATTTATGTACATACATGTGTGTACAGTGTGCCCTTGAAAGAGAGCATCAATAAAAAACCAGCTGTTGGCTGAGCATGGTCTGTGTCGAAGGTGCTAAGTAGAGTTGGACACGGGCCGTGTTTTCGATCGTGGCACTTCGTGCGTGCGCGTGCGTGTTTCGTGGCCGTGTCGTGTCGGGCCGAAAATAGTCGACCCATGGCCATGTCTACTAAGAAGGGCTTGAAGAGAAGGGAATCCCCCTAATCCACAATCCGGTCCTAGGCGGAGCTTGATTGTAAATCCTACCAAGATGGGAACAAATAATTACTAATCATCAATCTTAAATTGCTTCCCTTACGGAACAAGAGTCGCTGCACCTCTTTTATTGAAGAAATACAGCTTTCACGTCGGCGATTGTTTCCAAAAAATAAACAAATTTAAATTTTTGGGCCTTTAGTTACATATGTTAATAAGTAATTTGTTTCACTTTGCAGAACCTGAATGGCACAGTATCGGTGGATTTTCGCAATGAGCATACTTTGCGTGAGTTGGCCAAAATGATGCTGCTTGAATATTTCGATCTGAAGGTTGAATTCGCGCCCGGCAGCTGGATGCCAACTTTGGCGTTGCGTCTAAACTATGTGCTCTGGCTGGAGGATTTGCTTGAGCCGCTTAAACTGGACACAGTGCGTGGCATCGACATCGGTAGGTAATTGCTAATTAGCGGGGTGCTATTGAGACAAACATTCGCTGCTAAATTGCAGGCTGCGGCTCGTCATGTGTTTACTCGCTGCTGGCCGCCAAGAAGAACAAATGGCACATGCTGGCGTTGGATTTGAAGGAGATCAACATAGAATATGCACAGAAAAACGTCGAACGCAATGAGCTGCAGTCGCTGATCGAAGTTCACCAGCAACCGGACAAGACCACAATATTCAAAAGTTATTTCGAATCGCCTAATGCCACGAAAGACAAGTTTCACTTTTGTATCTGCAATCCGCCGATCTTCGACTCGAATTCTCCAAATCTGACGCGTCGGCCAGCGTCCAGAACTGTGCGTACCGGAAGTGCCGAGGAGTTGACCTGTGAGGGCGGCGAAGTGGAATTTGTGCAACGCATCATCGAAGAGAGTATGCTGTACAAGGAGCGTGTGACTATTTTCACCACCATGCTGGGTGTCAAGTCCAACTTACCAAAGATTTTGGACTATTTGAAGGCGAAAAATATAAGCAATGCTCGCACCACCGAATTCCATCAAGGCCGCACCAATCGCTATAACGTGGCGTGGAGCTTTCACAAGGAGGCCATCGGTGACACTGCGCCCAATCAGAAATTCTGTTGCTAGCTTTCCATATTTACTAGACTGGATCATTCCCTAAATGATTATAAGTCGTAAAAAATGGACACACCGTAAGTGAAATAACAAGTCTCGATTACCGTCTCGTTGCATTCTGTACTTATATTTGCAGCTTTTCTTCTTTTTTATTATAAACATATCCGTTCGTGAATGGATTTAAAATGACGGTAATGTACTTATCTAAGCTTGACCTGATTACCAATCTGGATCGCCTTTTTGCAGGTTCTCTAAGTTGAATTTGATAACTCTGAGGTGCAACGATTTGTGGCGGACGGTACCGGATCCTCCACGCTTGAGTCACGATCAGTAAGGAGAGGTTCTGAAGCTTTGCGATTCGTCATCACACTCGAGCAATCAACAAAACTGGCAGACTATTTCAAAGACCGTTGGAACAAATCTATTTAAAATAAAATTGCCCCGACTCCCTAATATTCCTTTTTCTTTTTTGTATTTGGATTGGAGTGCAGGGTACTTAACATCTTAAAGCATTCTTATTTAAAGCTGTTTTTAATGCCTATGTAAGGGTCAAACACTTAGTAACATCAGAGTGGATACATATCGTAATCGTTCTGTTTCCAAATCGATATACAAGTATACTTGTCCGCCTGGCCGTATATAGAAACATAAACTGTAGCCGCTAGGGTATTCGTTTTACCAAAGGATGTCGCGAGGCTTTAATGGGATTAGACTCAAATATCACACGTCCGTGATAGAAACGAAAACAGAAACACGGATATGTGCAGTTCGGTGTCTAGGAGCCATATTGGTCATTAACTTATTTTTGGTATTATTTGTATAGCCTATACACAAAGGGTAAAAGGCTATACTAGTTTCGTGCGAATGTATCTAACAGGCAGAAGGAGGCATGGCAGACCCCACAAAGTATATATGTTCTTGATAAGCATGACAAGACGAGTCGATCTATGTCTGTCCGTCCGTATGAACACCTGGATCTCAGAGACTAAGAACTAGAGACACTCCAAATTTTGCACAAAGATGCCTTATGTGTGTATGAACAACTGGATCTCAGAGACTAAGAACTAGAGACACTCAACATTTTGTAAAAAGTTTGTTTTATTTATTGATTTTCCCCCCTATGGGGGTTTTTCCGTAACGCCATTCTTATAATCGTATATATCTCGGAGACTATATGACCTAGGGCCACCAATTGAAGTCCAAGATGCCTTATCTGAATACGCAGAAAATGTGTTTTTTGAAATGCCCCTCCCTCCCCCCTCTCCGCTGCAATTCGTGAGTTTCTCTAACTCCCGTAGTTCTTGGAATTTCGAACTCAAATTTAACAAGTACCTCCAGTTAGTGATTATACATCCGTATGCCAAGTTTCATTATGATAGACCGAGTTAACAGCAAGTTATACCTATAAATATAATTGCTGACCGCAGCTGTTCTTGATGCTGTGCTTTGGTTGACTGCAAACATGCTCACACAGCCACGAATAGACATGCATACACTCATTTACACGCAATTACTATGTAAATTTGCAATTATACACCCTTTACGTGAGGTTGAATACCGAGAGAGGTAAAATCGATCGACATTTTTTTCTTAATTTTCTTATTCTAAACATACGTACAGAGTATTTCAGGTCGGTACACCCGACTTTAGCTTCTCTACTTGTTTGGAAACTACAAATGGCAATAAAAAGGTTATTACCATATTAAACAGTAGATAGCAGAATTGGTATTCATTTTATGATGTTTATTTCTATATTCCTATATACTTAATATATATATCCCTATGTAATCAACACTGATTTACATCTGATTTTTGATTATACTATATAAATAAATTCGAGAAAGTTGTTTTGATTTTGTATTTTGAATTGTTTTCGACTTAGGCGTCTGTTGTTCGGTAGCAGATCAAGCATACGACGTGTTGTCCCGAATAGTTTCGTATGCAAAAACTTAGTTGTCAGCACAAATCACACACACACACGCACACTTATACCCACACATGTGTGAGCAGTATATCTACAAGTATAGGAGTTTTCGCATTGCGTTGCCCACTTGAGTGACGCACGGCGTGACACAAACATGACATAATCCAAATTTCCCCAAGGTAAACGCAATTGCCGTGACAAGCTAACCCGACTACTGACTGGATTGCTTGCTGCGGCCAACACTTCACTGCTGCCGTTTACCTGAGCCATACAAGCAGAAAAAACAGGAAGACTACGAAACTCTTTCAGCTGTAAAGATTCACTTCAAATCTGAATGGGTATGAGCAGAAAAGTACAAGTATACATAGTTTCGACACAATTTCCTCTTTAATTGCTGAATGAAATTAATGAGTATTGACTGCGTATCTAATATCGGAGTGTTAAATACGGATACAATAAAGCCCATAAAAACTCAACTTGTTGCGAAACACTTACTTACAATTACTTTTTAACACTAATATATATTATATATAAACAGGCTTGTGCCCATACTAAATAATTGTTATTTGCATACAACTACAATGTAAATTTTGCTGTTCTTCTGAAATAGCCGAAAAAGCAATTGTGTTTTTTCTATTCTCAGAAAAGAATACAAAGGTTGTAATATAACCAATAATATAAAACAACACCATAAGATATTTATTAAAATGGCATTCAAAACACTCCAACCTGAATACTTGAATTAAAGATTCTCAGGTCCCTCACTAATATTATTGTTTTCAACTCTACTTGGGGGCAAGAAAGTATAACACATACTGTTGTACTTTCTATAAAGCAAATGCATTTAATAGACTGTTCACCTTTAGTATTATACACATATAACTTCACTTTCCAATCTGACTGAACAAAAACAGAGTAAAAGAATCGTGCCCGACGGACTCTTGAATGCCGAGTGCCCAACATTATTCCCATTATAACCATTTAACGGATAGAGGCTTGTTGTACTTTCGGATATAATTGCTGATTAAAAAAATATATATTTTGTGGGGCATAGCACGCCTCTTTCGGGGCATAAAAAACAGTCCTGTTTATTACGATATCCTAACCAAATTGTAATATCTCTGAGTTTTTGTAATTCATCGCTATATTCAGCATTTCGAGTTCGAATTCGCTTCGCCACGTAGGGCTGCCATAGAATCCATTACCACATTAACATTAATTTAAGTTGTGGCACCCTGAAAGTGGGGACAGGCACTGATTATACAGAGGAATATTTAAATGTTTTTTTTCTAATAATTGGAGGAGACGGGTTATGGGGTATAAAAGAGTTCTACTCCAAGTGGACCACAACAGGAGCTTAGCTGCCTCTTGAGTGGCTGCTGAAGGATTGTTCACGGAGGTCTTCATCCTTCGCTTCACACGGACAACAATACCGACTTTTTTGGTGGTTGTAGTTTCGGATGCTATATTAAACTTTTTATACAAGTATTGTGGCATGCAATAATTTATGCCCACGAATATAATATGTAAGTATAATCATACACACGAAATAATGCAAAGGAACATGTCTGACATAAGGACACGAATGCGCAGAATCAGGGATAGGTATGGGCGGTCCACAGGCAGTGGGACAAGGCTCTGAGGCAAGGAGGCAGCAACTTATTAGTATTGGCCAGCTGCTCGGTGTGTTTGTTGAGCACTTACAGTTATTGCGGTTCAGTTTCGACAGCAGCGACAGTTTTCGTTTAGTAAATAAATAAAGCACGGCTTGGTGACCTTTTTACTGCACTGTCACTAGGTTTACACGATGAACTAACAACAGTTAACTGGTTAACTGATTAAATCAAACATCACAGTTATATTTGCGCCTCTCATCGTTTTCCTAATGGACATAATAATAAACCAACATTAAAAACTAAAAGCTATTGAGTAGAGATTTCGTAAGGAGATCTTTCAGTTTCAAATCGGAATATTATTTTATTCATTTCCAGAGAAGAGAAGAAAGAAAACGTTTTGATGAATTTTCCGCCCACTGATAGCCTGGCAGTACGAATCTACTTAGACGTGTGCTACTGTTGTATATTGTTGTTTTCTTAATGGATTTTTTAAACATAGCTTTTCTTGATTATTTATTATTATTATTTATTAGTATTTTTGATGATCTGGGTAACAATCAAATAATATATAGATATTACATGGAATGCCATTTCAGGAATATTTATAAAACAGAAGAGTTCACTATTCTTGTCAATTTCATGAAAAATGCCCAACAAACAAATCGTTGTGCATATGTATTCAACAGAGAATACGTTTCTCGGACATTCTACTGTCTACATACTATACTTACAAATATTTTCATGCACTTAAATTTACAATACAGTTACAATTCTATGCATGATCTTTTAGTATTCGGGTAGTATATTACCTACTTGTATTATGTGGCCTCGTATAAACATAATAAGTCTGAGTGCGGATTTGCTTGGGTTCATGTCCGCTTTTTATTTTCAGTACTTTGTTTTACATTTCTCCCGTTTTGGGGCATTTCCTTTTTTGGCTGTTAGGCAAACAACAGTTTGTCATTTAAACAAACACACGCACACACGCACACTCGCACACTCTCTAACGCACAGGCACGGCACACAGACACGCGTGCAAGAGTGCCTGACTTTGCTGTTTATCTTACACATATTATCCGTTTGGGCATGGACAGTATAGCGATTCACATGTGTGAGTGTGAGTGTGTGTGTGTGTGCCTATAATAGGGATGGTAATCAATTGTGTTCTTGATCATGAGCCATCGTGGTAATGGTGAACGACGAGAGTGCCGAAGCGCCCAGAGCCAAACTATTTTACTTGTACACCATGTGCATAAAAAAAAATTAAAAGCCAAGATAATGTAGGGTACCAATACTTCCAACGACGCTCATCTATATACTTGTAGTATATAAGGCGCTTTGTGAAGATCGAAAAACCTGTAAGCGTAAATTTATCTAGAGCAGTATTCGCCCGAAGTCTCTCTCTATTTAAATATATTCCTGATCGGCATGACAAGATGAGTCGATTTATTCTGGTCTGCCTGTCTGTCTGTCCGCACGAACACCTATATTTATATTTACAATTGTGTTTATTGTGTTTTTTCCAATATTTTCATTTCAAAAATTATATTATTATTCTTCACATACAAGTAGGTACAGAATATTTCATAGTCGGAGAGCATCCGACTTTAGCCTTTCCTCATATTTGAAATGGAGGGTTCGCGTTCGAAATATATTTTGTCGTTCTGGAAACCCTTTTTAAGATTATAGACACCTCAGTTTTGTTTTCTGAATGTTTCTTCAAAACTATGCGAGTCGAAATGGGGTTCTATTTGGCACTCATTGATTGCAATTGCAAATTTTGGATTTTCTGATACAAAGAAGGACGAGTCGAAATTGATGCAAGTGGGAATAAATAAATGCTATCGTACACCCATATACAAGTATAGGTACTTTATTTATGGCGAAATACGAACAATTACAAACTGCTGATA